GTGTATATTCCATTGTTATGCAGCCTATAGTGATGTATGTTCTGAATTGCAGATGTGTAGACATATGAACGCAGCAGCAGCAGTACTATCAGCGAACCTAGGCGTGGCTGCGGGAAAACAGGAAGCATGCTGTGTGAGAGAGTATGTATTACTTTGTGTATGATAAAACCATGATAAAACAGTCTACAAATGTACATGACTACGATTGTTAGTTCCCACATCTTTCCAATGTGTGTGTAGAATTGAGACATAAGGATTTTAAAGTAAAGTATTTTTACGCTGCTTTATGCGACAACAAGGCAGGTTCATACATTGCACTTATTTGGGGAATCGAAGGCGGGTATTCTACCAAACCACTCCTCTTCAAATTCTTTGTCGACAGGATAAGCACCACTTTCAGGATGATCTAAATAATATTAAAGTAGGCAACCACATGGCAGCAATTGTGCTCACATTCTTGCTGATCTTGTTTCTTTATGCATTTGAATCAGAATTTCTGCTCGGATTGGCAAAGTCAAAACAAGGGAATTTGGCCAAGAGGCTTAACTTAAGCTTCATGTATATCGATGATCTGATATCGTTCAATAGCTAATCAAATAGCCAATTCCCTTCCACTGATTTACCCAACTAGAAACAAAGGAGAGTGAGACCGCCTCCATTGTTTCATATTTTGATCTATGCATAAAGATTCAGAGTGACAAAACTGTATGACAAGCGGGACGTGTATGAAACTATGGCACAGTTAATATCGGACATATAGGCAAGAAATTAGCATCTCTTTGGACACCAAGTGTGCTTCCTTTCTTGCTGATTTCTTTCTGTATGCATACGAGTCGGATTGGCCAACTCAAAACACTGGAAATAGGTCAAGACGTTTAACTTCATCTTACCGTATGATCTGATATCGTTCCATAATGGTCAAATAGCCAATTCGCTTCCATTCATTTACCCACTTGAGCAAAAAGTAAGTGAGTAGTTGCGCTGCCTCATCTGATTCATATTTAGATCTCTGCATAATGGTTCAGAGTGAGTGAGTGAGTGAGTATGGTTTTACGCCGCTTTTAGCAATATTCCAGCAATATCACGGCGGGGGACACCAGAAATGGGCTTCACACATTGTACCCATGTCGGGAATCGAACCCGGGTCTTCGGCGTGACGAGCTAACGCTGGTTCAGAGTGAGCAAAAACTATCCACAATACTGCAGGAAGCGAGGGATGACTTCAACTTTCTTATAGTCAATTTTCCCTTTAAGTCTAGCAATATTCCTGCAGTTCCCGCCTTTGGTGTCTACTATTTCACAACTTTTGAATGTTTGATCAAGCTTCTAACATTCATGGCCTCAGAAAAGCTTAAAAAAATTTTTTATCGTAGATATGTTGAGGACATTTCAAAATTTGCTGCATCAGTGACAAAAATGATGTCCGATGCAATTCCCTGTTTTGACTTGTTCCAAATGTGTCTTTTCAGGCGAACAATTGACTTTACTTTATATGTGTTTGTGACAGGTGGCACCGATGGGGCAGGATGCGATCACCTTTTCGCGAACATCTGGTATTATCACTATTTGAAAGTGATTCATAGACACATGCTCATGATATAGACGGAATCGTACTACGGACTATTGGCATAGATTTCTTATAAATCTGAAAGGATTTTGGCGCCCTTATTTCATTCCTGGATTCATATTTCGATCTTTGCATAAATATTCAGAATGATAGAAATTACCCCCAAGACTGTATGACCGAGTGTTGGTCCGAGATTCAAAGCGCGGCACTGATTAAGTTTTTAAAGTTTTCTTAAAGTTGTCCTGCGTACTAACAACAATCCGCTTGAAGAACCATAATTTGAAAAAATTCTAAAAAAGGATCTTGAGCGATGGTGCTGTCATGTTTACACACACACAACAGCAGGAACATGTTGTTTACGCGTATGCATAGAAATGTCACAAATGCCCATATTTGGGCATATATCATTATTTATGCACAACCAGATTTGCAACCGGTTTCAGTTTGGTATGTTAACGAACGGAATTTGTTATGTATTCAAACTTAATCAGCATTTCACATAAATATATATATGAAACGTTAATGTCACGTTAACGAGAATGCGCCGAACAGATTCCTTTGGGTGCAAAGGGAACATTACTCACGTAAAACTATAAACTATTTACTGTTTAAGGTATACTAACTGTTTTCTGGCGTTGACGTTGCATATTCAACATTGATACACTTTTTTATCAGCTATTTCATTCCATATGCCTTGGACACAATTGCAAGTACATCTTTTGGGGTTCAAATAAACTCCCAGAAAGATCTTAGCCGCCGCCTTGTCATCAACGCAACTCAGATATTTAAGAGTGGATTCTTCAAAAGAAATTTATTATATCTATCTGGTAAGAGGCAAGAAACGTTTCCACTTTCAATGTCAAACTAATATTGCAGCCATTTACAATGGGCAGTTAACATGACATTTTAATATGTAATGGTCGAAAATGTTGTCCCCAAAATCTATATTGTACCTTTAGCACAATTAACGGGGCTTATCTAACTGGTGATACTATAATATTGTGGAATGGGTGACAAGCAAGAGTCAAGCATTAGTTACAAATGTAAAGCCATTGTAAAAGTGTACAATACATTTGGGCCATGTATTATGAATTCAATGTCTTATTTCATTATGCTCTAGTTAGTATGGTTTTTTTTTCAAATAAAAGATTACGCCATTATGCGATATAATCGATTATTTTCTCAGTTGCGTTTCCTGTCATTAAACCACTGCTGGGGATTTGTGGAGTATGCTCTCTTAAACCAAGTGCTGTCCAGTTTTTGACAACGTTAGCAAAAACTATTATTGACGAACGAAAAAAGCAGCGAGATGCACAAGTAAGTGGTCATTTTCATGTAAATTTCTATTAAAAGAACGTAGACTTGATAGCAGGACCATAATGTTTAGCAAGTAGCCTCATACTATCACTTTCATATTGTAGAAAAACATGGATTTTCTTCAAATACTGATTGACGCAGAGGAGAATAATGTTCTTCAAGGAACAACAGCTAGGTGTGCATCTAAACGTGAGCATTAGCTAAAGGGTTCTTCTTACACATTGTCAAGAAGTTTCAGTGTTGCATTTATTCTGGTATTGTTGTGTGTCATAGATTCAAACAGGATTATTCCCAATGCAGTAGCTCTTTATATTTATTCGCCACTTTCCAGTGAATAATACTGATTATTCTTTTGTTAAATACTTAAGATGTATTAAACATAGAATGTACGTTTTATCTTCCAGATATGTCATCAGATGAAATGTATGCACAGGGTATACTCTTCCTTGGCTCCTTTGATGGCACAGGAGCATCTCTCTCCTTCCTATCCCATGTCCTGGCTACTCATCCCGATATTCAGAAGAAGCTTTTGGAGGAAATACGCTCATTAATCGGTGATGTATGCAATAAACATTATTATATAACGCTTAAGATGGCATAAAATCACATGTTGATGAAAAAGTACTGTAAGTCCCCATGGACCCTAGCATGGTGATCTACCTTCAGCTGCTGGCGATCTATAGCCCTTTTTTATATTGTACCGTTATATATAGTGATATCTTTTTATAGTTGTATGCTATTTTAAATATTAATCTGTGATATTCTAGTAATTTTACTGTCCATCGATGACAGGTTTTAATTTAGTTATAATATATGAATTAAAAAGTATAATTTCTCGTCACGATATGGCTGAAATATTGCCGATGTGACGTAAAGCTTTAACTCACTCACATGTTGATGAAAGTTTAAATATCAGTGTAGTTTTCAGTTCCATTATCACCACAGCATCAAGACCAAGCAGATGTTTAGTATTGTAAAGACCAGTATCCATTTCCTTGACATCTCTTATCAGGAAGCTTCATGTTTGCAGTTCCACTGAATAACTCTTTGACTGCACTTTATTTTGGAGGTTACACTACTCGCTTGAAACCGTAACAGAACTAGAATGCATGATGAATTGCATCCAACATATACAAATACAAAATCGGTTAGTTGCAACCATGGTGAGCATTTCATTAGAACACCATTACTGTGACATATACCAGGCCAAAAGGTGTTTTTTGAGCAAGAGTCATGGGGCGTTCTTTAAAATCGCCGTAGAGGGAGCTTGCTCGATTGTACCTCAAAAGTTGTGAAATAGTAGACACCAAAGGCGGGAACTGCAGGAATATTGCAAGACTTAAAGGGGAAATTGACAATTGGAAAGTTGAAGTCATCCCTCGCTTCCCGCATTATTGTGGATAGTTTTTGCTCACTCTGAACCATTATGCATAGATCTAAATATGAATCAGATGAGGCAGCATAACTACTCACTTTTATTTCTTGCTTAGGTGGGTAAATGAATGGAAGCAAATTGGCTATTGAACATCATTAAACGATATCAGATCATCGATATATGGAAAGCTGAAATTGAACGTCTTGACCAATTGCCAGTGTTTTGAGTTGCCAGATCCGACTCGTATGCATAAAGAAAGATCAGCAAGAAGGGGGGCACAATTGGTGCCCACGGGGATGCCAGTTTCTTGCCTAAATGTCCGATATTAACAGTGCCATACTTTCATGCTCATCTGTTTTTGCAACAGGAGGAACCGACCTATGAAAAACTACAGGAGATCGAATATCTTGATCACTTCATCAGAGCAACACTTCGCCTTTTCCCTCCCATACCCTTGTAAGTAGTCTATGAGATTTTAAGTGATTTTATTAAGTTGGTTGGTTGGTTTGTTGTTTAACGCCACACTCAGCAATATCCCAGCTATATGACGGCGTCTGTAAATAATCGAGTCTGGACCAGACAATCCAGTGATTAATATCATGAGCATCGATCAACGCAATTGGGATCGATGACATGCATCAACCAAGTCAGCGAGCCTGACCACCCGATCCCGTTAGTCGCCTTTTACGACAAGCATAGTCGCCTCTTACGGCAAGCATAGGTTGCTGAAGACCTATTCTACCCCGGAATCTTCACGGGTCGATTATTCGAGAACTTAGAGACCGAGCATTTCATATTCCGGCGGGGGCGTGGGTGTCTGTTGAAGTATTGGATTTTGTATGGAGACGAGATATATTTTCAGCTGAAGCTGCAAAATCAGATATCTGGGGTATAATTATTTATATTTTACTATTATTTTTTCTGCGACAATTTCACCCATAACACTGTGTGCTTTACACATCTTTTAATTGGAGAATGGGCAGAGAAACAGCAAACGCAATTACCATCAAGGGTTACACATTCCCCAAAGGTTCAATTGTAATCGTGCCATTGATGGAGATGCAAAGAGACCCAGAACATTTTGATGAACCAGATGCCTTTCAGCCCGATCGGTAAGTATATGCAATGGTTTTATTTTACGAACAGTGGTAACCATACATGCATGTGTACTTGACTGGTGTAATTATGAGTGAGGGAGTTTGAATTTAACGCCGCTTTGATTAGTACGTATTCAGTTATGTCATGGGGCGACAGTGGGAGGAAATCATAGATGATGCTGATAAAAAGCTGTTTACATCTGTGGTGCTGACAAGCATAGAAACATATTCAGGACCGATCTGGAACACTAACTCACGATTATAGGTTTCCGCCGGAACACCTAGGGGATGCAACTCTGCACAGTGAGTGAGTGAGTTTGGTTTAACGCCGCTTTTAACAGTATTCCAGTTATATCACGGCGTGTCAGCTTAATGTGGGAGGAAAGCCCGAAGTGATGTAGGTCTCAGACGTTTACCACTTCGGTGAAACCCACGAGCACGGATATGGTGCTGACAAACCTAGAAACATAATCGGGGCGAACCGGGATTCGAACCCACAATCATAGATTTCTGGCGTGCCTAAGGGACGCAACTCTGCACAGCGAATCGCGGCGCCTTAGACGACTGGGCCACCCGTGCCCCCCTGCACAGTGATATGTAGCCCCTCAGATGACTCGGACAGATAGCAGGCACAGCAGTGATAGATGTAAAAGAAGTTGTTGTAGGTTTATTGACGTCGTAGTAGTAGTAGTAGTAGTAGTAGTAGGAATTAAGAGTACCATTTATAGTTCAGGTTGATTTCAATAACAGGAGTAGAATATGGATAATTATCATATTTATTAGTAGCAACAGATTTATTTGAAGAAATGTTAGTATTAAGATTTGTTTGCAGTTGTATTATTAATGGAATTATAGTAATCTTTTAATAAGGTGTTTGTATTAGAATTATTTCATATGTAATAGATTTAATTAAATGTGTCATAATATGCAGGGAACATTAGTTGCCAGAACTAGAATGTATGCTAGAAACTTTAACTGTAATGATTAAGTAAAACTCACATACATAAATGGGAGAACAGAAATACAGTGTTATTCAAAGTACCTGCTTCAGGACAAACTACAGTAGAACACAAACAGTATCACTAATGAAATATTTATTAACTATCACATAAACTTATAGTGCATATTTTCCTTGTCCTCAGATGGAAAGGGAACATTAACCCACTTGCATGGCTTCCATTTGGCTATGGTCAACGCCAGTGTCTCGCAGGCAGATTTGTCATGTGTGCGTTGAAGATTGCCCTCATCCATGTCCTCAGAAAGGTCAAGTTCGTCAGACCGCCTGATATGCCTGTGAGGGTGTTTTGCTTCATCTGTGTTTCTAAAGGGATATTAGGCTCTGGCAAAATGGCTGTTCTAGCAAGTTTCATTCAGGTCATTCAAAAACCACTTTGCGTGTCTGCCAACTAATGTGTTGCATATAAATAAAAGCGACAAAAGCCTTTCCATAATCATAAGAAATATCTGCTGGAAGTGGAATCGATACATGAGCACGTGTTTATGAATCACTTTCAAATAGTGACAATACAAGGTGTTTTTGTGAAAAGATGAGCGTATGGTGTCATACGGGTGGCACCTGTAACAAAAACATACAAAGTCAAGTCAATTGTTCTCTATAAAATACACGGGAGCATATGGTACAAGTCACAATAGGGAATTGCTTTGGACATCATATTTGTCACAAATGCGTCAAATTTGGAAATGTTCTCCACATGTCTACGATAAAACCTTTTGAAAGCTTTACTGAGGCTGGTCTCCTATAGTTCTAGTTCAGGTGGATTAATCATTGGATGGTGATTGAACGGACATAGTGTCCTAAACATTTGAAGATATAGATGTAACTATACTACTCAAAATTTGATAAGGATCACTAGGTGATATGTGTGTAAGTTACCACAAACATAACAAAAGACATGACTCTGACTCAGAAACGTGTTTAATCATGTTATGAATGAAAATGCATGAACGGCATGAACTTGTATCAATATGGAATGTTTGAAATCTGCAAACACCAAAAGGCATTTCATTAAAAAATGTTAACAGCAAACAAGAGAAAGAATTACACAGTTATGAGGGATAGTCCATCATTACACTTAGTCGATGAAGTGTCAATATCGAGTATGACCTCCCCTTGCATCAATGACGGCCTGACAACGTCGAGATATGCTGTCAACAAGCACCCGGATGTTCCCAATGGGAAGGTTGTTCCACTCTTCCACGAGGGCATGTCCGAGCTCTGCCAAAGTCGTTGGTTGTGCTCTACGGCGTGAAAGGGCAACCTGCAGCATGTTCCAGACATGCTCAATCGGGTTCAAGTCCGGCGAGCGCGCTGGCCAATCCATGCGGACAATTGTCTCCTGCTCAAGGTACTGCTCAACCACCCTGGCGCGATGAGGACGGGCGTTAGCATCCATCAGGATGAACTCAGGGCCAACAGCACCAGCGTAGGGTCTGACGTACACATCGAGGATCTCATCCCGGTACCTCACCCCCGTCATTGTTCCTCTCTCCAGGACATGAAGATCTGTCCTTCCATCTCTGTTGATTCCACCCCAGACCATAATGGAACCACCACCATAACGGTCATGTTCACTGATGTTGGCATCATGGAAACGTTCACGTTGTCGTCGCCACACCCGCTGCCTCCTGTCTGTAAAGTCCAAACAATACCTGGACTCATCGGTGAACATAACTGGAACCCAATCGTTCCGTGTCCAAGTGACATGATCTTCAGCCCATTCCAATCGCTCCCGCCGGTGTCGAACTGTCAGGGGGATTCGGACACATGCCCTTCTCGAGTAGAGACCTGCATTGTGAAGACGATTCCGTATCGTCTGAGTGGACACATTCACCCCCGAGGCGTTCAGGAGGTCGTTCCGTAGGTTAGTTGCTGTCCAGAAGGGATGACGTCGTGCCTGAAGAGCCACAAAATGATCTTTGCGTTGGGTTGTCGACCTCTGTCGACCTCAACATCGTAAGTAAGATACAGATGTTTAAAGATTACATGAGATGCTTCGTTACAGGAAATGTTGGAGCTGGACTGCCTAACCATAGGACGACTTGTGCCAAAAGAAGCCATCAAGCTCAGGATTGAACACCGGGACAAAGCCCAAACATAGCATTTGTGATACTTTGTTTAAACCCGGATCAGCATGTATTATTGTATTCCTACTTCCTTGATCTATTATCAGTTGGTATTAAGAACAGGGTATGACAGGGAACTCGCCAGAGAGTTTCGAGTGTAAAAAAGAAAGGTTCAGTATTTGTCCATTTTAACACGTTTTCTGTAACTTTAGAATCTAACATTTCCAGTTGACCAAAGGACCATTGACGTACCTCACCCATTGGGCAATCTGCATCCAATCAGTGAGAACCTCTGAGTTAATTTATCATTTTGAACTTTCATTCCCTGTGTTCAAAATTGATAAAAGGATTACATCTGATGGCTAAATATCCCACATGTGATAATTATATGTATTTGTATATTAACCAGACACGAAGCGTTAACTACACGGTGGAGCTTCAGTTGCATACAGCAATGTAAACTTGAAGGTATATATCTTAAACCAGATACACGTATATAATGTAAAAATATTTATTTTATTGGATACATGGTTAACTTGCGTGGCTTGTGAATGTCTCAAAGAGAAATGACTTGTACAGCATTTAGCCTAATAAGCCTGGATTATAAATAAACGAGACAAACTCTTTCCACAATCATATGATCTTGTTACTGCAGTAAGGCAATGTGCGGTCATCGTGAAGACATCTGTTGGAATAAAGAACATTAAGAAGAGTGTCCCTTTACCAAACACATTTTATTTCTGTCTTGTTAGGTCGAATGAAGAGACGTGTCCCTTAGCCGTCATGGGATCATTGAGGCCCTATTGCATCATTGAGAATACCATTGGTTGACATTGAAGCTTGTAAATATTCCTTCATCCTGCACTATTTGAGACACGATTTTCACCAAAACAACAAAGTTTCTAAGGGGGATACTGATCTGACTTTAAAGTGAGTGAATATTGTTTTACGCTGCTTTCAGCTGTGTTCCAATATATATTACGTCGGGGGACATCAGAAACGGACTTCACACATTGTACCCATGTACCCACGAGCACATGTGTGTTCACCACAGGTTTCAGTGATTGATTTGCCAACACGGTACAATTATAGGAACTTTCATTATGAGCGGCGCCTATCAATCGACTTCAATGTGAGTGAGTGAGTTAAAGTTTAACGTCACATCGGCAATATTTCAGCCATATCGTGACGAAACAAAATTTGACATTAACAATATATAGTAAACTGTATTAGATTCTGCCGACGAAGAGCAGTAAAATAACTAGAATATCACAGACTAGTTTGAGAACAAGTAAAAATAGATAACTAACTAATCATTCAACAACACATTATAAAAACGGGCTATAAATCGCAACCAACTGAAGGTTGATCACCGCGCTGGGGACCATGGGGACTTACAGTACTTTTGCTACCTGCATTGACCCCAGTCGGATTTACTTCATCCCTTCAGTTGTTGGCGATGGCTGACAAATTTAGCCAAACATCAAAATAACACATATACTACTATTAAAAACGTGGAAGAAATAAATATTCTTTGAAAGACGAGGTCTTACATTCCCTCTCAGGGGGACAATAATTTTACACTACTTTAACTCCCTTCGGGGATATTGCCACTAACAATCTCAGTTACTGATTTTTTCAGCCAATTATAAACATGAATTTATTTATTTACAAAACATTGTTATCAAAATTTATGAATCAGTTGAATTTCTTTTACGAAAACAAGAATTAAACGAGAACTTACCTGATTAAAAAGATCCTTGATGCCTGAAATTTTGAAATATTGATCCCTTCTGATGGAAAAATCAATGCAGTCAAGCAGGACATGCTTGACCGTGATTCTTTCATCACAAGGGATGCAGATTAGGGTATCTTCACCTTTTAATAAATATTCCTGAGTATATCTAGAATGGCCAATAATACCTCGCTTAATACGACCTCTTCAAATCTGGACTGACAACCCAAGTAGGTATAACCGATATTTGCTTTTATTGCACGTAATTTATTGAAACCCACTTGGGTGTCCCACTTCTTCTGCATTAGATCTCTGATGTAATATCTAATGACAGGCTTATAATCACTGTATGGTATAAGAAGTGGTGTCACAAATTTGTTGAATGCTGTTTTTGCGGCAGCATCAGCCATTGTATTACAAACAATTCCAACGTTACCCAGCACTCACAACAGGGGGTGTTGCTCTTCACAAGTGCCAATTGAAAATAGGATCTGTCCACTAGCCGTTCCTGTCTGGGTATGCGATAGCCTGCCATATCCATTGTCCGAGTAGCGATAGGTGTTTTGGTTTGGTTTGGTTTGTTGTTTTACGCCGCACTCAGCAATATTTCAGCTATATGACGGCGGTCTGTAAATAATCGAGTCTGGACAAGACAATCCAGTGATTTACATCATGAACAGGGATCGATGACATGCATCAACCAAGTCAGGGAGCCTGACCACCTGATCCCGTTAGTCGCCTTTTATGACAAGCATGGGTTGCTGAAGACCTATTCTACCCCGGATCTTCACAGGTCGTAACGATAGGAGTGGGGTCTTGACGCATCTGGTCTCTCTACGAGAAAGGCCTTACTATTAAGAATACTTGACTTTATCCAGGACGAAGACGTCTTTGACAAAACTGTGCCTGACTATACCAAAACCGCGTCCGCCTTTAGCAAAATCCCGACCGACTTTCACAAAATCTTGTACGAGTTTAACAAACGTGAGACAAACCATTCTAAAAGTATGTCGGGGTGTTCTAAAAGCGTGACAGATCGTGTCAAAAGTATGACAGACTGTTCCGAATGTATGCCATTGGTAGTGTGTCTTTACAGCACATTTTACTACTAAAAAAGATAATAGAATGTATAACCCAACCAAAAGTATGACAGACCATTCCAAAAATGTGACAGACCGTTTTATTGCATGATGGCTTGCTCTTAAAGTATGACTCGATATTCTAAATTACGTCTCACCTTTACCAAAAGTGGGACACACATTTATGAAAAGTATGTCCCGGCTTTACCTAAACCCTGTCCCAGTTGACCCACCCCTTACCAACCCGAGACCAATACTCGTGGTATAGCGTGTTTGCCACTGGACAGGAGAAAACAACTTGATCGTAGGATACATTTCAACGGATCACTCGATCTGTTCATTTATTTCACACGATGAATATTTGTTATGGCAAGAACATTTATCATTATAGCAATGTGACACTCACGAGGATCGTAAACACCGTTGGCAGGGTGCACGACCTGTTTGTCCATAAAACGTTACTGGGTAAAATGTTCACACCTGGTTGTCACTTCCCATTAACTCAGCCACGAGTCTCTGCAATTCAGCGTCCAGTTCGACCGTTCTTTCTTCTTCCTCTCAGTGTTTGCCGACAGCCGACGTACTAGATTTATTCTTCGCGTAATGCGCCGAGAGTAACCTGGGGTCCTCTCGTTTATCACCCCATCCCCCATCTCCGTCGACGGGGATGCCTTTTTCTTATGTTTCTTGACGAGAGGTGCATTCTTACCCATCGAGGATGACGGTGTTTCGAAGTCGTGGTCGCTCGGTACGGCGTTTCTTTTCTTGCCGTGTTGGAAAGTGGCTGGTTTCTGTTTCCGTTGTTGTGTTTGGTCGTTATGCTTGGTTTTGCTGGTGGTAGGTTGATGCTCTTCATCGTTGCTGCTGTTGGTTTGATCGGTAGTTGTCACCGGAATACCCGTCCGGTGATGGTGGTGGTGGTGGTGTTGTTGGAGTGGTGGGGCGGGGTTTGAGGAGTTCAGGCTGTGTCGGAGAGCTACCATGACGTGTGACAGGGCGATAATCAGGGGTTACTGACCTGGAACATGTCCACATTCTTACACATCCTGTCGTTTGATTGTTGAGACATAGTGGTAGGTACTATACTGGGGCTGGGGGTAGACACCAACTGACCGAGCATACTTGTAACAGGGTGTTTGTAAGACTAAAATAGCGAGTGCGTCGCGGGGACGATGGACTATTACTGTTCCAAGACACGGGATGATATGGTCGAAAAGGGCGGATCGACGAATCACGTGGTACTGGTGTCATTCCTGAGAAAATGTGGGTATCTGACGCGGATTTTTGTTCTAGCGTCCGGAGCCTGAAGAGCTGTCCTGAGCAAGGCCTTGAAATTCAAAAGAGCCGAGGCGTGATAGTTTAAGGTAAAGTCTCGGATCGTGCATGGGGGAGGGGGGTTGGGGGTTGGTGTAGACGGTAAGCATCATTTTTAGGCCCACAGGTGACAAATTCGTCAATCCAGTTACCTTCTTCTATCTCGTCAGTCCACTCGCCTAGAGAATCACCGAGCTCTCTTTCTCCACGTAAATTACCGAATCGGTGTCAAAGTACAAGACGGCATCACGGAGAGACTCTAAGGCCTCGTACAGTTTTAGATGGGCTTGCGCTGTGACCCATGCGCCAATTACGGGATTGCTGGCAAAGTGTGGAACTCGGTGTACTTCTACAGGCGAGTAGGTGACGAGCAGAGTGTCTGGAGAGACCAAAACGACATTTTTAAGGTCTATACAACCGTCGTGAAAGAGGTCGTACAAAAGACGCCCATTCGTGATGTACAGACACTACGTCTTGTTATAAGACTGACCAAATTTTCCCCAGTGGCTGTTCATCATAAATTTGGTTATAGACCACATGACGGGGTTGTGTTCGATTTTGGAAGTGTCCAGACGAACTCCTTCCTTTCGAGTGAGTGAGTTAAAGCTTTACGTCACATCGGCAATATTTCAGCCATATCGTGACGAGAAATTATACTTTTTAATACATATATTATACTTAAATTAAAACCTGTCATCGATGGACAGTAAAATTACTAGAATATCACAGATTAATACTATATAAAACTAGCATACAACTATAAAAGATATCACAATATATAACGGTACAATATAAAAAAGGGCTATAGATCGCCAGCAGCTGAAGGTAGATCACCATGCTAGGGTCCATGGGGACTTACAGTACTTTTGCTACCTGCATGCACCCCCGCCGGATTTACATCATCCCTTCCGCTGTTGGCGATTAATGACAAATTTAGCCAGATTAAACGAAAATATATACTACGATTAAAAAAGGGCAGAAATAAACATACTTTGAAAGACATGGTCTTACATACCCTCTCAGGGGGACAATAATTTTACACTACTTTAACCCCCTTCGAGGATATAGCCACTAACAATCTCAGTTATAGATTCATACCACCAATTATAAAAAATATTTAGTTATTAACAAAATATAGCAATCAAAATTTATGAATTAATTCTATTTCCTTTAAAAAACCAAGAATAAAATGAGTTCTTACCTGTGTAAAAAGGTCCTTCATAGCTGAAACTTTGAAATATTTATCCCTTGTGATGGAAAAATCAATACAGTCAAGCAGGACGTGCTTGACCGTGATTCTTTCATCACAAGGGATGCAGAATGGAGGATCCTCACCTTTTAAAATATATTCATGAGTATAACGTGAATGGCCAATACGACATTGTCTTAAGATGACCTCTTCAAATCTGGACTGACAACCCAAGTAGGTATAACCAATATTTGTTTTTATTGCATGTAATTAATTTATGCCCACTTGGGTGTCCCACTTCTTTTG